GCATCTATATGTTCAAACAGTCACTGTCCATTTAAGCCTGGACCAATTACCTACTGCATGTCCCTCAAAGTTCCACTTCCACTGACTGTGTAATCTCCAAACACTCGCCAATTGGTTGGGGAATACACATTTTTCTATAGTGACTAGAGGTTGCTATGGAAATGTGGATTGCCAGTTAGTATTTTGGCCTGCGTGACTGAACCTACATACAGACTGGAAGCACTGTGGTGACCAAACATCAGGTGAAGGTGAAATAATCGTTGGTAATAGGACGTGGGCAGGAGCCAAGAAACTTTAATTCAGCTTCAAGCCAAGCAATGGGACTACCGATAAGAACACATGATACTGCTGATTTAGATATGATGTGAAATGGACATCAAAGATAACCTGAGAAAAAGGCGATGTAGGATTTTAAAATTAATACCATGGGTGCGTTTACTAAAAATCGTGGACCGCAAGGTTAAGGCCAAGGGTCGCAGTTCCTGAAAATCACCCAGCATTTTTCAAATTTATTCCACAGGTGCATGTACGAGGAGGCTGAGGGGTGGCACTACTGGACGTCAGCATTTTCAACCCCAGTACTCTGTCCTTGTCTATACATGTGTTTTCTTTTTTGTTTGCAGCATAGTGTTTAGTGTAGCCAACACTGACTTGCATGACATCACTTGAGAATGTTTATTAGATTTTGCACAGCTTACCCTGGAACCATTAAAGAATTTATACCACTTTCATTGCCTCATTTGAAGTAATATTGAAGGCATAAAAGGAACATATTATTAAAATCAGAAATATTTGTCAACATGCATCATACAATAGCTACACAAACCAGCGTACGGAATTCCTCATGTTCAACACAAATGGCAATTTTAAGCAGTCAGATGAACGTACTCTGTAACATACTATCTCAACCATAATGATGTGATACAGATGCAATACATACTAGTGATTCAGTTTTCTAGTGAAACAAAGGCACTAACCATGTAAGCTAAAGTTAAATACGTTCGAACCATTTTCTTAAACTCCAACATATCACAATTTAGGAAATGAAATACTTTTTTTTTTCCAGCATCAGGAAGTCCAGCTGTACACTAACAGTTACACTTTATTCGCTTGGTCACCATAAGTAAAATGACTGGCTTTTTTGTTGTGTTTCTTTTTTTCCCCCCTACTATTTTAAAAACTGTATATCACAAGCTGGAAAGTCTTTGTGACCATCTGATGTCTGACTGCATTTTCTCTGAAATCTCTGTATATTTGCAAAGAAGAAAGTCTGGCGAAGGATTAGGGAAGAACAGCAAACTGCCAAAATCTGCACAGCCTGTCAGAGTTTGGAAAAGAATGAGACAGGAGAGGGAAAAAAATGTCAAGAAGGAGACTGCAAATGAGGCTTGTTTCAATAAGAAGATCGATGGGGATGAAGAAAAGATGTTGTGTGCATCGATGATAAGTGTCCATGGGCAAACATGAGGGGTGCCTATAGAAGTGGGATATATGGGTATGTTGGGAGGGAAGTTGAGCAGTGAAGATGGTGTGAGAGAAATGATGGCGAAAGTGTGGCCCACGAGAGGCTGCAGATAAACAACAGTTTTTGACTACATTTCCAGTGTTCCATTTCCATTTTTCTAATAAAGAAAAGACCGTTTCATGATTATAGAAAAGACTACATGAGAAGAGACTCGGTAAGAAAGCGGTAAACAGCATCCAACAACACTTTTTAATTGCCGACTTGGATTTTGCTAAAATTCTGCTTTATCTCTTTGTATTGTATTTTTTGACTTATGTGTAGCCTTGATGATGATCATTCATGGCTTCTGTATTAAGTGGGAAATCTCTATGGTTTGGTAATTATTTTAGGCTGTTGCCCTTTGTGTTATTCAGTTTCCTGGTCTGGACCTTTTGTGGGGAGATGTGATTGTTGAGGACAGCCCTTCAGCAGTTGTGCATGTCACAGGGTCTTGTGGGGGATACACTTTTCACCACGTGACCCATCATGGCAAACCAGCCCAAACAAACAGAGTTGCTCTGTTTATAATAATCTTCTTGTAGTAGTATGTTATTTATTTGTACATTCTCCTCTACGTTCGGCTTGTACCGCACGCTGCCTAGCTGCGTGCATATATTGAAGTGAATCCTTGTAAAGAAGAAAAACCTAGGTATTTCCCAGCCTTGATGTCAGCTGCGTTACTCAGCTTCTTTTTCTCAGTGTTGGCAGCTCATATGTTGTGAAACCACTGACCCTGAGCTTATGGATGAGCCACCAAAGAGCTTTCCCTCATCTAGTCATGATGCCATTAGTCAGTGGTAGCCTCTGAAAATTGAAAAATGATGTAACAGTGGCTTAGTGTATATCCATGTCACCTGTTTTGGTACCATTTGATTTGGTATTGTAATGACTGCAACTCTTTGAGCCTACGTTGTTCAGGAATGTGCCGCACAGTGTATGTGAGGACGTTGCAAGCTGTGGAACAAAGGCATATTGATTTTTAAAGAAGCAGTGCAGATATGCAGACATTTCTTGATAGGTGTCACTGTATGTTTATCAGATACCACTTCACTGATGTGTTCACAGTGACAGTAGGACAGATCAGTTGCAAGTGTGGAATATTTTTTGTTATTATTTTTGAAAGCTGATGGCAATAGGAGGAGATCTCTCCAGTGTTTCCCACCGCTTGCCATCCTGTGTTAAAAATAGTCATACAAACGGTGACACTGAGCCATCATGGCATGTCATTTTTGTCATCATCTCTGTGCTGAGAAATGGCTGGAACACATGTGACAACCCGTCAATTGAGAGGGGAGAGATAGTCACGATTGTCCACCTGGCTCATGTGTTTGTGTTGGGTTAATTTTCAAAGAATACACATGTAGGCTCTAATCATGCTGAAATAACATTAATTACTTAATGCATTGGCTCTGAGTCATTTTCAGGGTTCATATTTTACTTTTCTTCCCTGGTGCAAAAATAAGGTCTAGGAGTAACCTCTTCTTGTGGCTTTTAATTCCAGTGACAAGACCCTCTTGCCAATGTCAAAAAGTGATGATTTGGAGATGATAACATGTAAACACCTTAAAAGTTTTGTAGTTCTTCACCATTTTTGGAATTGGCCATTCTCCAAAACTAAAACCATTGTAACAAATATAACACAGTGTGAAGAGGTACCAACACCATCCTTTCGGATAGTGTTTACTGAATGAAGATGGAGAAAGCACTAGGCACTAACAAGTCCCTAACCCAAAGGTGCTCTCCTCTCCATCTTGTGCTAGCAGTGGGGCTCTTGAGCATGTTGTTCACACACAGGCACATCCATCTTCTTTTTATCCCAAATTACTTGCCGTCTTTGATTCTCACTCCCCGTGTAAATGAAGTGGGTGTGAGAGGGCGGGAAAGTGGTGGGCTGATGGATCTTATTAAAGGTGTTGCATTGATAATCAGTGGAGAGACAACAAGATATGGGTTGAGCAAGGAGGAGAAAGAGAGAAAGAGAGAGGCAAGAAAGGGGTTGGGGGGAGGGGGGGAGATAACAAAAGATATGTCTCTGTTCACAGTGGCAACATGCCCTTGAGAGGACAGAGACAGAAAAGCCAAAGAAAGACAGAGAGAGCATGGGAAAAGAGATGGAGGAGACTGTTGAGCTGTCACAGATGTAGCCGTTATGTCACTTTGGTTTATCTCCATCAGTGCATCTGACTGACCAGGGAGGCAATTTCACATGTTTGAGCTGAGTGAAACTCCATGTTTACGAAGGGATAAACGTTTGTAGGACTCTCTCTCCCTATCCTTCCATCCATTCCGTTTCCTGGCCCTGCTCTAGACCTCCATTTAGAAAGTGAGAAATTACACATCTTTATTTATAAATCATGGAACTCCCATATCTTCCACTTGGTAACAATAACTGCACAATTCATTTGCCTTTTTCTGGAGGCACTCTGTCTGCTACGGGGTGAGTGTTGTTTTTTTCCATATGATAATGTGTTTTTTCTCAGTTTGATTTGTTTATATTGAACTGTGAACATACAGTGTGCAACATTACCGAAACACCAGTCTGATCTTTTCTTAACATTGTTCCTATTCAGTGCAACTGCAGGTCATGCCTTACAGAGTTCTTGCAATGAACAGAATATCACTTTGACAGGAGACCTCAGGGGATGCTATCCCGTCTCTCAGTCGGATTATTTCCACCTGCTACGATGTGTGGCCTGGAGGACATGCTATTATGATATTTTCTTTTTAAAAGAAGGCATATGTTTGACTGTAATACATACAATCAGATCTTGTTCTGTTTATATCCAATGGTGGGCTAGGTTTGGATACAGCTGCAACAGTATTTGTTGCATTTCTGTATTTAAAGGGAAGTGATATATAATTTTTAAAAAACACCTGCATTATACAGGCAAAACTCAGACCTTCAAGCATTTATCTGGCCTGTCTATCGGTTTAGGTTCTCAGTAAAGCCATTGTCAGGAAATGTTGAAATTTTAAGGCTTTAAAAATAAGTATGATTATGCCACAGAAAGTTACAGAGTCAAGGACCATTTTCATGTTATTTCATGTCAGTTTTATGTCAGGATAATTTCCTGTATGGTTTAGATGTTTTTTTTTATAGATATTTAGAAATTTTCCATTTATATGTCATGTTCAGGCAAGCAATACAGGATAGATAAAAGAGTTAGAAATATGTCAACGAGCAAAAGAATTGCAAATTAGTTTTGAATGTATTTAATTTTCTAAAATGTCCTTATTCTGCCAATAGTTATCATGTTCAGACTTTTGAAACTTGAGATCTCTTCAGCATAAACTAAACGGCTAAATCAGTTTTTAACTCACCTACAGCTGGTGGAGGATTTTGTATGCACAAGATTAATGTTTGGGCTTTTTTAAAATTATAATTACAATTACACTTAAGCATTGCAACAAACTGCATATGCCTTGTTCTGGTTATTGATTGGGATTTTATTGCCTTATTCTTTATGACCACCCTTCTTATCTCATTATGTTGTAGATAAACTAAGTTTGCCAAGCTTGGAAGTCAAAGTCGAGGTGATGTGGGATGAGAAAGGAAAGAGAAGTGTTGGGGGCTTGTACAGAAGGTATTATACACACACTGGTACACTGCATGCTAGAGAAAACACACTGAGCCTGTGAGCTTGACTTTATTAGATTCAAGCTTAAAGTATTGTCAGTTACAGCTGGAAAGCTGACTTTACGTAATCGCACAGCCTGAGACAGCCAAGCAACCCAAGGATGCACGAAAAGACACACACACACACGTATATGTGTGTGTATGTATATATATATATATATAATCTCTCCAAATTTAGATATTTCTTATACTGTGAGGTGTGAAAACTGAAAGTAGGCTAAATTGAATTGTTTATTATTAGAAGAATTTAACTTTTCTAGCTTCAGTGTAAAAGAAGAACAAACTGCTTACAGAACTTTTAAATGAATTAAATTAAATGGAAAAAAAATAAAATGGCAAATCTGTTAGATGTGTTGACAACAAAAACCGTGTCTGTGGAAAACAATTTTTAAACTTTATGAAAATAACCCAAGAGTTATTATTCACTTTTGTTTGTCATTGTTTTTGTTTTTTTAATTATTGCTTGTTTTAGGCAGCAAATTAACTTGCTTGTGGCCAATGCACTGCTAAGAGATTACAGTAATTTCACCTATTTCTATGTGACCAAGTTGAGTTGTAAAACAAAACCTTGTAAAACAGTTTTAAACCTCAGTATTCACAAGGTCTGAGTACTGAGCAGCTCCCATTAGCAAATCAAAGTCATTTGCTGATGGTAACTGTCAAATTTCAGCTGTTTGTTCCAGCTGTTTATTTTTCTCACTACTCTTACTAGCACCAATATCTTTTGCAGCTTTAATGATATAGAGGAATAAAGGCAACACAGATACAGAGAGAAAGCAGAATATCTGTGTCAAACAGCATGAGATACTTCTGAATTCTGTCCTATCCATAGACAGCAGAAAACATTGACATGCCTCCCGTGACGTTTGGAAGAATCCAGTTGAGTGTTTTTGTTGTTGCCACCTTGGTGTTTTGAACTCAATCTGGCAAAAAAGGGGTGGATCAGACTGTGAACCCACATGCTCATTGGCTAAGGACATGTCATTTACCAGCACCGAGCCAATGATCATACTGTGCATAATCTTTCTTTTCTGAAACAGCCTAACTTTTTATTCACTATGACACAAAATGAGTGATGGAGACCATGAATGTGGCAAGAAAGTGTTTACAGAGGTCAAGTCAGAGAGCAGTTTTCCTGTAGACTTCTATATTGTTGGAAGGTTTAGGGTTTTTTTTTGCCACCACCCCCACAGAGATTGTCCCCTGGTGGCCATTTAAAAGAATGCAGGCTTAAGATCCTACCATGTTTTATACTGTTTATGGTCCTGTCAGAGAGCAGGCTGGTAAAATGAACTAACATTGAATCATTAGAAATGATTTCGTCATTCCATTAATTCGACTTTTAAGTTGGGCTGGCTCAGATTCGTTCAGCATACGCTAGCCCTATCTCTTCTTTTCATCCCAGTTTTGTTAAATGTCACATTTCTCAATTTGTCATTAGTCAGAGTTCAGTGTGGAGTGACACTGACTGACAGCCAAGTCACGCTGTGGCAAACGATCGGTGATGGATTTGACTGAACCAGCTCAAAGGGTTGTTTAAAAAAAAGCATGATTTTATTATTACTTGTTTTCATCCGTTGCTGAAAATAGTGAAATTATCATCGAAATACAGTTTGTTTAAATGTCATCGTCTGCTGGCAGGGACCCTACGATGTAATTAAAAAAAAAAAAAAAAACTAAAAAAAAACTAAAAAAAAAAAAAGCAGGGTAGCAAAACTAGAACTTTCCTCACCCTGAGAATTGAGAAATGGGGATGCTTTTACTTCCCTTGTTTTATTTATTAGTTAATCACAGTGACTTGGTGTTGGTGCTTTATGAAAAGTAAAAAGTATAAGTAATGTGTAATTTTTCCTGGGGTTCATCCTCTGAAATCTATGATATCTCTGCAAAAATGTGTGAGTTACAGTTAGTCAGATTAATGAGAGATTTCAGAGATTTGTTGTTTGTGTATTTTTCTTTTCTTTTTTTTTTAGGGTCACAGACAGAGATGTGTCTTGTCTGTTAATTTACCAGAAAACAGTAAAAGTATATTAAAACAAGAGATGTGAGAGAACATAAGGGTCAGTGTGGATGATGTAGTTACGATGCGTAAGTACAACAGAGCCAAGAACTGAGCGAAATGCATAGAGGAGGAAGAGGACAAGGCTTAAAAATTTCCCCCACATCGTGTGCCTGTGGGTTATATCTCAAGTGCACCAATGAAACAATGTTTTCTCACAATAAATTACACATGAAATTGCTGGATCATAATATATTTGCAGACTACATATAAATGTCATTAGGTATTTAACTGTGTGTCTCTTTGAATGTTCCTATCTGCGCCTCTGTTATGCTGCCTCCTTGTCTCTCTCTGTCTTTCAGAGGTTTTTTTTGTTTTAATTCGTTTCTCTGGAGGGGATTAGAATAGCAGCAGTCATGAGGGAGTTGTTACCTGGATTAAACTTGATTGGTTGCTTTCTTGATTGTTGATGATAGTAACATAAAACAGTAATCCACTGGATAATGATGATTCTCTCGAGATGGTAACATGGAATTAGAATCACCAGGAGACTATGTTTTCTAACTACCAGCTAAATTAAAAATCAAATTTTCATAGCTTTGTTTTATTGCTTCTCCCATTTCTAAATCTTTATAGAAAAACAGATACTGCTAAGTATTAGTACTAGACTAAGATAATAAGCTGTCTGCGCTGTATGGGTTTATTTAATGATCTGAGTGAGAGCTATTTTAAGCTTAAATACCGGACATTAGCAAAGTAAATTGCAATGACACTATAGCTGACTCAAAACACAAACTGTCAGCTATAACTTTTGAATTTTTTTTCTTGTCAGTGAAAAGGTGTTGTACTTGTCAAGCAGCATAAATGGATGTTGTGCATTTTCTCTGGTGACACAGGTTTTAGCAAAAGATGCTCTTTTTGGATACAATCTGGCGCGATACAGCAGATACAGTATATATATTTAAGTTGAATACTGAGCCTTGTGAAATTATGTGATGTTGATAGTCAAGGATGTCTTTTAGTACATTTGGGTGGAAATGTGTAGGCCGGTTGAACATGCTTATTGAATGTTATTCCAGCCGCACCTCGGCGTCTCCCCAAGTCGCCCATTAACTGAAATGTGTGAGCAAATGCATTTGACTGTGCTGAGTGTGACTTTGCTGAGTGTGACGGAGTTTTCTTTTCAGAGGAGGAAAGCAGCGCCTCTTGAATCATTGGAGCGTGATGCATCTGTATGGCAGCAAGTTGGGCCTCTGCACTCGTGCAAATGCTGTGACACCCTGCTCTGCAAATGTCAGTCCCATCCAATTAAATGGTTGAGTGATGCCATTGCCCACAAGGGGATCCCGCCGATGAAGTTCTTTGTTTGTTATCGGCTTTGTTTCCCGTTTTTCACTTTCACAGACAAGAATGTTGTTTAGATGCCCCTGCAATACATTCTGAGAGAGGGAAGACCCGTGAGCTGTTACAGTGCCATGTTTCATGCAGAAGTACCCTCATGCTCTGTCTGTGATTCTCTTGGGTCATGTCTGTGCTTGTTATTCATTTGCAAGCAGTTTGGACCACCTACACATTGGCTATATTTACAACAATGTCAGTCTGTAGTCTGCAGTTAACTTCACTTTGATTATTGGTTGCTCTCCTTGTCAAGCACCTACATTATCTGTCTTGGCTCAAGATATTCATGTGAATGTTCAAGAGCAACCAACAGTAAGCAATGGTCTCTGCTGAGTGATGATAGATTCATAAAAAATCCACACAAAGCTCAGTTATTGTCTTATAATGCTATAATGCTGTTCTGTCTGCGGCAGAAAACAGCACAGTTTTATGTTTCCTTGGAGATTGAGCTAAAAACTAGCTTAACATTTGCCACCACACTGTCTCGTGGTACATAAATACAAGGGGAGTCTCATACTTGTTTTAATTTTAACATGTTATATATAAAAGAATCCCATAATGATGAGCCAGGCCAATATAGTCATCTAAGAGGACATACTTTACTGTAATGTTCACAGAGAAAAATTCCTTAACATGACTATAAGCCATACTGTTTGTTCTTGGCTGTCTATCAGGAAGGGTTATTGGCTGACTTTTGCTCATATAAATCCTGCTTCGGCAGCCACAGTCATTTCCACATATTAATTAAGCCAACTTGCAAACCTACTGCTAGTAGTAGCTGTGCCAATTTGCCACTCTTACAACAAGAAGATAACGCGGAGGAGAAGTGTGCAGGCATTTGCTGTCTTTTAGGAGGGAAGGTCTTAACCGGTGAATTTGGATCTCGAGGCATATTCTCCAGATGCTAGGCCAGTCCCACCCTTTTCTGCTGGATGTGTGTTTCACACTCTTACTAAAGTCATTAGCCAAAGCCTTTTACACTTTGGCACCAAGACATTTTTCAGGAAAGGGATTTAAGAGCTCTGTTGAACTGTTTCCTTAACTGGGCTCGGTTTGCTCACCATGTTTTTTCCTGTTGAGCTAATGCTAAAAAAAGGATTCAGATAGTGATTAAAAAAAAAAAAGGACAGACCTTATAGGACTGTAATTCCCTAAAAGGAATTTGATGTTCATTCCACCATGTTAACAGTGACACTCTCCAAAGGCAGCACATGTGAAAGGTTGGACACTACATTACAGGGAAATGTTTTGTGTGAGGGGCTTCTGTATGGGTCAGTGGGTACTGCCAAGAAAATATTCAGAATCTGACATTTGTTCAGGGCTTGTCTTCAATCTGCTGTAAATATTTTCTTTGCCAATGAAGCTAAGTCACATTTGTGACTTATAAGAATTATAATTCTCTCCAACACATTCGAAATGATCGGTTAACTCTACAAGCATATTGAATTCCTCCTGAAGAACTGATGATTACATACTGAGGGTATTATGAGAGCTATTTTGGGAGAATGTGCGCAGTGAGTTGGCAGTGGTAGACATTAAGTGGTCTAAAACTAGATTTTTCAGCCTGGCTTATTAAATGTTTGCTAATTGACAGTGCAAAGGTCATGATGTTCTTGGCTTGAAAATGCTCAAATACCTCGGGACAATTTAGCTGTCTACTATTTCTATGTTTAAGCTAATTGAGAAATCCAGTACATTCTTTTTCTTTTAGCTTCTGTGCAGTACCAATATATTAGAGAAAAGAAAGTGGACATTTTATAAACATTAAAGGACATGTAAGTTATTAAATGCAACAGCTGCTTAATATGGAACATTAAATTAGTTTTATATGTCAGACATAAGTTACAAAAGTTAAATAGTAAAAAAATAAATTACACTGCTTACAATATGGATTCCTGGATACATGCATTTTTTAAAATCCTGCAGATTTCATTTAAGAAAAATAAATATGAAGGCAAATATATCAGACACAAAAACATAAAAGCACCAACAAATAATCCAGAAAGATAAGTGTGGTTAAATAGTAGATAGCTTTAAATTCATAGACACAATAAATTTAAGTAATCAGTTCACTGTAGTTTCGTTTATATACCACCATTTCATTGTCTGAAAGCATTTTATCTTGTAAAGGTAAACAATTTCCAAATATTAGCATGAACACCAGCCATGAGATCCACTGTGAGTAATCTGACTCCAATGGTGGGGGGGAAGAACTCCCTTTTAACAAGAGACCCCTGGCACAACCAGGTTTTGGTAGGGGGAGCCATCTGCCATGAGTAGAGTTGAAAGACAGGAACAAAGGTTAATGACATGCAAATAGTGGCAAATAGATGGGTAGTCAAAAGAGAAGAGTGAAAGACAAGCTCTCATTGCATCATGGGAAGTCCCCCTATAGCAGTACACCTAAAGGGTGTTCCACAGTAGAGCTTAAGGCTCTGACTCCCAATAAACAGTATTTGAATAAGAGATTTAGCTTTGAATTTAAATCTCATCATTATGTACATGTTTAGAGTCCACATTAGCAAAACTCCAAAACGCTTTTTAAAAATTCACAGCACTATGTTTACAATATCATAACAAATTAAGACATGTATTATATTTTGTGACTCCTCTAACAACTGCAAGGAAACTACATTAGTTCTGACTTTAAGATTAAAAAGCAATGACTTGTACAACAAGCTCAAGTAGACAAATGCAGCAAGTCCCTGAGGGGTTAAGAAGTGTCCATCAACTGTCTGTCTGCGCCTCAGCCTCAAGCTTTTCCTATCCTCTATCAACTCGCCTCCCTTCAAAGTGTCAAGTCAGTAAAAAGTTTCTTTAGACAGTGGAGACTCTACTGAGTGCAGCTATAGCCTAAGGAAGATTTATTAAATTGTAGTCTTTTTTTCTCAAAATTGAAAGTGACAGAAGGGAAAAAAAGAAAACAAATTTAACGATCAAAACGATTTGTTACGAGTTTTGTTTGTCTATGTATAGCTGACAGCTGATAAGGAAACGTTGAAGCATTGACAGAAATAAATAAGTTCCAAATGATGAGGAATAGTTTTTGTATATTCATACTGAACACTTAGAGTTTTGTATATATATAACATACAGTGGGGCAAAAAAGTATTTAGTCAGCCACCGATTGTGCAAGTTCCCCCACTTAAAATGGTGACAGAGGTCAGTAATTTGCACCAGAGGTACATTTCAACTGTGAGAGACAGAATGTG